TGAAAAATATCAAATTCTGTTTTTCTAAAAATAAAAATCTACTTAACAAAAAAAATGAAATGATATCCAAGTGCAGGCATCGAAACAAGTTTCTTCTCGCCCATTTCGACACGGCCGATTAAACAATTTTCTAATTAAAAATTTGTTTTGACGTCAGAACTCATTCTATTGCTTTGTTATTGTTTTTTCTGTTAATTTTTGTATTTTGTATTTTTTAACGGTTTTTCTTGATTTAAAAGAATAAAATATGGCTGATGATTGCCGAAGGGCATGAAACTTCAAGTTCCATCACAAAGTTGTATTTTTTCAAATAATCAAACTCTATTATATATATATATATATATATATATATATATATATATATATATATATATATATATATATATATATATATATATATATATATATATATATATATATATATATATATATATATATATATATATATATATATGTATATATATATATATATATATATATATATATATATATATATATATATATATATATATACACGCAACCCTCGGAATTAGGGTTGGCATTCTGCAATGCCAAATTAACTGCAAAAAAAAAATTATCGACCTTGTTTCATTGTTTTATGGTAAAACCTTTGTATTAATTTTTTTTTGCCAACCTCTAAAAATTGAGGTCCGCAAAGTAATTTGGCGTAAACATTAACATATGTAGGCATTTTGTTTTTGAGAAAAAAGTAATATTTGCCGTAAAAACAAACAATGTCAGGGCGCGACAAATCAACGAACGTGCGAATATTTGTTTTTTAAAAAAATTAAATGTCACATTTTTTTACTTTTACTTAAGCTAATGTTGGCATATGCTTAAAATTCTTAAAAATGAACGCATAAGGGATTGTACATATATTACTTATGCTGGGAGAGGAAGAGGGGGTCTGCAAATGACATATATGCGATGAGAGGGCAATGGGTTAATTATAAATGAAAATAGAAACTAAATTGAAAAAGATACCATAAAATGTTAGATAAATAGGTTTAAAGTGTAGATACTTTTAGGGAGGTGGTGGGTACTCAAAAAAGCCTATTGCAAAATAGGGGGGGGGGGGAGGTGGACAAAAAGTGTATGTACTTTAAGGACGACCCTTAACTTCAGAAATTTTTTTTTCCAAATAATTATGCGATTGATAGTTTTTTATTTATTATAAAAAAAACAATAAGTTACTAAAATTTAAAACACATTTTTAATGATTTAAAAAAAAAAGCATTCTAATTAATTTTTCAATAGCATTACTTTTAAGTTTAATAATTAAATATGCAACTGAAGAAAGTAATTATGTTTTAGCATGGTTTTTACATGCGTTTACAAAAGCATATGAAATTTTAGTTAAAATGATTGGATTTGGAATTTCTTTATAAGAAACCATGCTAAAACATAGCTTTCATCAAAACTTTTTTTAATTTTCTGATTATCGTTTAATTAAATTTAATCTTATTGGTGTTGTTAAACACACAGTAAAAAATGAAAATTATAATAAACATAACAGTTCTATATATTCTATTAAATTATATATATTTTAAAAGAATATATAGAAATATTATATTTATTATAGTTTTCATTTTTTCCAATTTATTAACTCTTTAAGTTTTTATTAACTCGTCATCTCTGTTTGTTTGATGGTTTTCTAATATCTTTAATTAAATAAATGTCTTAAAAACGGGAGGGGGGGCACTTCCCTCCCAAGTTTTTTTAAATTTCATTCAAATTCTTTTTTTGTTGCCCTAGCCTGCTTTAATTTTTGTTTCCGCCCTCCCCCTCTAACATTTTTGACCTTCCTACACGAGTGACTAATATTACAAAACAAGTTATATTAGTTGCACCTGTTTGAAAATTAAAAAATTTTAATGTAAAATTAATGTATTTAGAAGATGAATTAAGTAATAATACAAAAAGAAAAACAAATAACAAGGAAATTTCTATCCGCACAAAATGTTTATAATATATAATTTTGAAATTGAAGAATTAAACATAAAAGCTCTTGAGAAATTTTTCCAAAACTCTTTTCTATTATGGGTTTTGATTTTTAGATTGAATTGATTCCGGCTTTTAAACTTCTTAACCCTTTATGGGCCAGTGATGCCATACGGCTTCAGTGACTTTAGGAGTTCTTCTATAGCTTACTAAAGCCTGTAATAAGGAGAATGCTTTTGCTTGTTATTCAACACCAAGGTGTACACACGCTAAAACTTTTCATAATGGTAGAACATACTTTGTAAGAAGTAAACACTTGGTTTATTACTGTAGTAGAGAAAAGATGTAAAAACTCAAATATCTCATTTTTATTTTTTTCATTTTGTATTTAGATAACACATTTATAAAACACTTTACTAAATGATATTTAAAATATAAATAACAAAGATTTATTTGAGGGTATTTTAGTTAAAAAGTGATCATTATCTTGTGTATTATAAATTTTCAAAAGTAAATGATGCCACATGGCGTCATTGGCCAAAAGGAATTGTCTTTATGATATTTCCACCCTTGATTTGATCCAATACCTATTGGAATAAAAGCTGCAGGCACAATCAAACCAAATCATTTACATGGGTGCCCAGTAAATTACTGGGTTTACTATTACTGAGTAATACCATCAAAAGAACTCAAGAAACAAGATAGAGGTTCACTTGATTATCGTATTGATAAAAATTCTGCACTAATTGTTGTGAAATGGTTAGACAACAATATTGTACATTTAGTATTCAACTTTTTCGCTGGTGCAGCAAAACAAAAGAAAAAAAAACATTGCCTGCCCATATATAGTGGCAGTATACAATAAATGCATGGGAGGTGTAGATCTAGCAGATATGCTAGTTGCCTTGTACCGCACAGAAGTAAAAACACGACAATGGTACATCAAAGTGTTCTGGCATTTTGTAGATGTGACCAAAGTGAATGCCTGAATCTTAAATAAATGGCATTATCAGCAATTAGGTCTTCCAATCAACAAACATCAAGCATTAGCAGAATTTACAGTAGGTATTTTAAATGCTCTTATCCAAGCGAATAAATTAAAAGCAATCCAGGGTAGGAGAAGACCAGCTAAACTTAGCAGTATCAAGCAAGTTCAACAAAGGAATAGAAAGAAACCAGTCATACCAATCCCTATTAATGATATTAGGTATGATCATATAGGACACTGGCCAAAACCACAAAAAGATAAAAAAATTTTTTCTTTCTGCTTTTTAGATAAAACTGATGCTTCAATCACGGGGCAATAATAGTCATGATATGTTGATGCCAAACAATTGAAACTATACTTTCCTTTGTTTTTCCAATAGGCAACAACAATAAAACATGCTATAAAACTTGATTTCGGCAATGTTTTCCATATATGGACAAAAATACAATTTATTCAACATATATTGAGTGATTTTTTCCTTTAGCACAAAAATGTTTGTGGTCTTAAAAGAATAAAAGCTCACTTAATTACAGCTACAAATTATATCATTTTTATAGAAATAAAATCAAACTTACCTGCAAAATTGTAACTTTTGTATTTTGTTTTGCTGCTTTCACTCTTTGAATAAAATCATTGAAATTGTACTTGTGACATAGTTTAAGTTGCTTCTCTATTAAATGATGAAATGAGTCACAACTCATAAATGTGTGACCATAACTCATAAATGTGATTTTTGGTTGTGATTTCATTGCCATTAATCATATATATCAGAAACATCACTCCAATTTTTGTTTTAAGTGTAATAATTTTCACACCAATGGTGATTTCAGATTTATCTCGATATTCTTGCAAAAAAAAAATGTAGATTTAGCTCCTCTTTGTATCGCCCAGCATTTTGTTTATGCCAAACAATTGAAACTATACTTTTCTTCGTTTTTCCAATAGGCATAAATGATACATTATATGTTGTTAACCGCTGACAAAACATTGCTTCTTTAAAATTTCCCATTCTTGGTAGCATAATTACTTTTTTCATGTCTGTCGCCAATATTATTTCTTGTGCACAAACAGTTTGATCAGTTTCATGTCTATATTACTGTTGTGCCCAACCCTTTTCATGTGAATATTCCTTGTCATCCAATATGTACAGTCTAGAGTTAATTTAGAATGATTTTTTTTTTCAACAATGTGTAAAGAACTGAAGGCATGTGTAACACTCTTTCTTTGTTTGATAAAAATTCTGCAAAACATATGGAGCTAATTACTCCAAATATTGTGTGGCATTTTGAATGCCGCTATCATCTATAAAAAAGCCTGTCTACGTTTTTTCCAACAAAAAATACAACAAAAATGCTTATTTTTTAAATCAATTTTTTTTTTCCTAATAATAATATAATTTATATAAGTTATTTGAAAATAAAACTCCCTTATAATTTATTAAAAAATTATTTGAATAAAAAAAAATAAAAATTGAAAGAATTGAAAATAAAACTGGCATATTCATGGCCGACGACATGGGTTTCGAAGTGGAGGCGCACAACCATCTCTTTCTAAAAACAAGTGTATATATAAATGTATATATATATGTACACATATATATACACTTTTTATACTAAACCAGTTATCAAAAATATTTTTTTCAATAGAAAAATCCTATTAGAGTAGACCTAGTAGAGTAGTATTAGAGTAGACAAAACATTAAGTACAAAGCAGATTATTATTTTTTTTAATTTTAAATAATTTTTTCACATGGTTATGTTTGTGTTTAATACTGTTTTGCATTTAGGACTACTATTATTAGTGGCCATTTTGATAAGAAAAATTTTTTCTGGGATAATATACCTTATATCCCAGAAAAAAATTCTGGGATATAAGGTATATTATATTTTATCACTAATGTTATAATTATATTTGTTATAGTAATGAGTTTTTTGTTTGTGTGTTTAATGGTTTTTGTGTTTAATGGTTATTATTAGCATAATGTTTTATGAGAGTATATGCACAGTAATGTGCATATTCTTTGTGATTATGATGATAATTCTCCATTATTATGGTGATAATTCTTTTTAAGATGTGATCAAAACTCTAATGAGATTCAGCTTCAAGGCAAAGTTGCATCTTTAGACTTGTCCCAAGGTGATAATGTAATTTGTTGAAATTTTTTAGCTTGTCATATATATACATAGAATACAATACATACATACATACATACATACATACATACATACATACATACATACATACATACATACATACACGCTTGCATAGATTAATACTGACATTATATAAACTACATTTATCATATTTTTACAATCTAGCTTCCCTTCATAATTTAACATTAAAAATATCAAAAATATATGGCATACATGTCATATACTTCTAACGTTAATGTACATTCTACAGTTTGCAATGAACTTAATATTAATACATACAAGAGAAAAAACAGTTAGGTACTTGACATGCAAAAACTTTATCGAAAATGTTTTCTTGACATGACAGGATAATGATCCAAGGTAATGATTAATCTAAGTGCATAAAAATTCAAATATGACATGGCCATCACAAGTTTTAAATTAATACAAATTAAACCATGGAAACTTAATATATAATAAATTTAAATACATATGATAATTTAAATAAATTTTTTTTAACATTAATGTTTTGTTTTGGTTGTCCACTAAAATAAACAAGTTTTGCTTATTTTAGCGGACGAGAAAATGAATACTTTTTCCAGTAAATAATAACATAGTTTTTTAATTATTTTAATTATAAGAATCAATTCAAAAACAATTGTTAATTATGATGATTATGTTAAATAGAGAGTATTATTTATGACAATTACGTTAAATAGAGAGTGATTAATGATTTCACAGATAATTAGAAACATTTTTTTTCACAAATAATAGTTAATTCTATACTACTACTTGTGTTGGCTCTTTAGAGATTCTGAAGAATGATAATTAGTAGTTTTTCTTGTCAGTTTCAATAGAATTATACTAGCTTTACCCCGAAACCCTCACACTATGCTTACATTTATAGTTTGACATCATTATATATATATATATATATATATATATATATATATATATATATATATATATATATATATATATATATATATATATATATATATATATATATATATATATATATATAATCTGTGCATATCTACTTTTATAACTATAACTTTACTCAGGAATAAGATTTTTTTATAATTCACATTTCTGTTAGAAGAAAAACAAATTTCTTATCAAATTATGTAAAAAAAATCTTCTTTTTGTGAAAACTTGATGAGAAAATTAATTGACAAAAATAATCTATAAAAAAACAAGATATTTAAAATTCTCATAAAAATCAAAATATTTATTTCCATTCAAAATTTAAATGATTAAAACATTGGACATTTTTCAAAGAATATTTGTATTATTTTTTCCTTTCTAATTTTGATCGATTCTAAAGTTATTACAGAAATACTAAATAAGGGATTTTCGCCACCTATTTATATTAAATAGAAATGCGCTTTGATTGGATAATTAATATTATTTCCCTTCCTCTTGTTTTGATAATTAATTTTTTAGTTCATGTTGATCTTATAATCAATTCAAATTATTAAATCAATCAATTATCAGCAACAATGCCACGAAACTACAAGAGAAAATCTGTCAAAAATTATAGCGAAGAGCTATCGGAAAAAGCCAATGCAAAAGTTAAAGCTGGAGAACTAAGTTGCAAGCGAGCTGCGGAATTATATTGTGTAACTCAAAGGATACTAGGAGGAAAAATTCAATATCCAGAAAAGGTAGCTGGGGCTTGTCAAAATATCCTACATTTCTTAAAAAAAAAAAGGTGGAGGGGGGATGCATGCCCCAATACCTATTGGTATCGATGAATTTCTTTTATTTAGCTAATTGTAGATGTGTTTTAAAGATTTATAATGTAAAATAAAAAATTTATGTTGTAAAATAGGTGGCAAAACTTTCCCAAATTAGATTTTATTAGAGTAATTTCGCCACCCCATTTTTTCTATTATTATTTTCTAATTATTTAAAAAAAAATTAAAGTATGTAAAGTTTATAAAAATAGTATTAACAATAAATAAAAAATTTGACTTTCATTTTTAAATCTCAAGTAATTTAAACTGAAAGAATTAGTGGCGAAATTACCCCATCTTACTCTATGTTTTAAAAATATTGATATGTATATATATATGTGTGTGTGTTTGTTTGTATATGTTAAACTAAATATATATTTGCACTAATAAATAATATATACATACATTAACTATATATACATATATTACATTCATATTTGTTGTTATCATTACATACATATATATGTATAAACTATATACAAAATATACTAAATGTTTATTTACACAAGTAAACAATATAAACTATATATACATATAATGCATTCACTTGTGTCTGATTTAAGTAATTGAATTTTTTCTATCATTAAAATGTTTGGTCACAATACAAGTAACAATTTTATAAAAATATAGATATGAATTATCTTTTGGCTTGCACGCGAGATGACTCACTAAAACTGATTGATTTAAGAAGAAATCAAATTGTATCCACATACAGGTACCAGAAAAATATTATACATAAAGTGGTCTATAAAATAACAGAATGTCATGTTTGTATATAGTTTTAAATAGTGAAATACTCAAAATTAAATTAATAAAAAATGTTATAAATGTATTTTATTATATATGTATATTATTATAAATGCATATTAGTATAAAAAAGTTTAAATAGTGTAAATGTAGTTTATGATTTCTGAACTTATTTAATTTTAGAACTGATGGTTTTAAAGTTGCGTTTGATATCTATATATATACATACATACATATATATATATATATATATATATATATATATATATATATATATATATATATATATATATATATATATATATATATATATATATATATATATATATATATATATATATATTTATATCAGGGGCTATTCTAGACTGTTTCGACAGGATCGACCATATGTGATGCCACCCAAATTAAAATTTGAGGATCTTTTTTTTAAATGTTTTTTACAGCAAATATTTTTTTTTTTAATGAATAAACGCTGATTTTCCGCTATATCGCTTTGCGACGGAGGGGTACCATCACCAATTTTTTTTTCCTATAATTGTAGTAATATATAATAATAATATATACATCGCCCTGTGTTATATATATATATATATATATATATATATATATATATATATATATATATATATATATATATATATATATATATATATATATATATATATATATATATATATATATATATATATATATATATATATATATATATATATAAACACAGTTATTGTTATAATATAACAATAAAATATATATAAACAATATATATTTTATTGTTATATTATAAGTTAACTAGTTTTAAGTTTAGTTTTAAGGCAAGTTTGCATGATTTCAATACTTTTGAAAAATACACATACAGTATGATTTGGTTTTTATTTTGAAAAAATTTATCTTTATTTGCTTTAATGGTTGTGGGAAAGAATGTGCATATTAGACAGTATGACACTTTGTGTGTTTTATTTTGTACATATGACGCATACCCTGTGAAAGATAGTGCAAATATAACTTTATAAGCAATGTCACTTATAAGGTTTTTTGTAAAATTCTTATCCAATCTGATTTTACTTTTTTTTTTACCAAGCAAGCAACCACTACTGAATAATCAAAAAATTAGATATAAATAAGCCAAGGACCACCAACATGGTTTCAACATTGTTAACACAAACTCCTGTTTGGAACAAGTTAAGCTGAATCACATGTTTGCTACATTTTTGGTTAGGAACATATCTCATATAAATTATTGTCTTGATAAAAATTCTTCAATGGTCTAGAAGTTCAAATCTTCAATGGTCTAGAAGTTCATCCCATTTTTAAAAATTTTTTAAAAATAATCAACGTTCAGAAAACTTCACAACTTAAAAAACATGAGAAATGCGGTAGTGGTGTAGTGGTAGAGCACTCGCTTCATGAACAAGTGGTTCCGAGTTCGATCCCCACCACGTCCCTGGTAGTACCGCGCTCAACTCGTTTCTCCGCGCGGCGGCCTTGCTCGTCAAGGTTCGTGTTTCGGAGTTATAGAGTTGAGAGAGGGTTATTACCACAAATAAGTAGCCTCCTCGTCTGTAGTGGCTTTCTCGGCCTTGAGGAGGTGAATTAAAATTAAAAAAAAAAAAAAAAAAAATCTCATTAGTTTTGCTTTAAAATAATGTATGAAAAAATAAAGTATATGATCTTTAAACCATGAAAAGGTGTCCAAAATATAAAAATGGTATTCGAAAACATGTTGAAAAGTTTGTTGAACTAAAAGGCCATTGCTTACACATGACAGTAGGCCAAACAGTGGACATTGCTCATAAATCAATATTAGTTTTCAATAGTTTTATTGAAAACCAAATAAATTTCCGATTCATTAAAAAAAAGTTAATTTAAAAGCATGAGTTGTTCATGAAATATACTAGTTTGAATAGCGTAAATTCATTGCAAAAGATATGTAATAGATGTTTGAATAGCGTAAATTCATTGCAAAAGATATGTAAAGATATGTAATATCTTTTATGTATTTATATGTAATTTAAATGATACATAAAAGTCATTTTTGGCATTATATAAGAAAAAATGTCAATATATAAGGAATGCTAATGTGATAGTTGTATGTAGAAACAGTCTTAGACTGCAATTTATTGAAATGTGAATGTTAACTTTATAGATTATTGCACAAAATTATTTTTACATGTTATACCTAATAAAACAACTAAAATTTAGCAAAATTTTAGTGTTTTTTTTTACTAATTTTTTATCAGAAAAATGAATTTATCTCAAAAAGTGCTAAGTTGACCCTAGTTTACATATATATTTTTATACTCCTATAACAAAGAGGAATAAGATGCTTTTTAACTAAATTGTGCTAACTTAGCACTTTTAAACAAAAAAAGTAAAATGACCCTACCCCTTTAGTTTAAATTTTTGAAAAATATTTAAAAAAATTTTAATTTAAATATTTTCACATTATTTTGTTCATATTTTTATGAGGGGAAGATGTGTTCAGAAAAAATGTATATCTAAAAATTAAAAAAAAGAATTAAGACCAGTTTTTGACCAACACCTCCACACACACCCCCTAGCCCACTTTTCTATTGAACTATTTTTTGACTAAATTTAATCTAGTTAGTACAACCATTAATAAAAAAAATATTGCAACATATAAGTCTGTTTTAAAATAAACGGATTACAAGAGTTAAAATTAAAACTGAGAGCTTTGGTGTGTATATAGTAATAATATAATATTTTTTACTTATCACGTTTATATTTTGATGTATATTATTTTAATTTTAAATCATTTTGTTTAAAAAGTTATTTGAAAAAATCGACAAAAATATTTATATCTTTAGTTTAATAACAATGAAGCTCACTGAATTTGACTTTTTTGAAATTTTTATTGCTGAGGAAAATGAACAACCAAAAACTTTTCTGCAAATATAACAGGTTGTATACTAATAATTTGCTAAGGCACTTGGCTTATTTTTAGTGTTTCAAAATTTACACATAAAAACTTTTCCAAAAAATCTTTAATCGTTGCACCTTCCGTTCAAAAGTTTTATACCAATGTCTGTGAAAACAGCTGTTTGGCCCGCTGTGCACATATAATAAAATTTAAAAAAATGTGTTTCAAACTAAATATAACTATTTTTGATAATTTTTTTTTTATATTTTAATTTTTTAATATATTATAAATACTTTTTAGTTGATTATAAAAATAAATAGCTAAAATTTAAGATTTTTGTAATGAAAATGTTTAATCTATATATTGATTTTAGATTTAATCTATATATTGATTTTACATAAATATAAGTTATATATATATATATATATATATATATATATATATATATATATATATATATATATATATATATATATATATATATATATATATATATATATATATATATATATATATTATACTTGTTAGCCCAGATGCTCAATATGCTTTATGTGGGTCACATGACAACAATATTTATGTATGGAATACACGCACAAACCAACTCGATAAAGTTCTTAAGGAACATAAGTATGGATATTTTGTTTTTTCATGGTGTCACCAAGGCTTTTTTATTTAAATCAATTAAATTTAGAAAATAATGTTTGTTTTTTCCCTTTCTTTCACAATTTCTTACTTTTTTGTTTTTTATTAAGGAGCGCTGTTATTGCAACAGCATGGCATCCGCATGGATCTAGTATTTTATCAAGCGACAAAAATAAGCACGTTATTTTGTGGAATGACTTTTGAAAATGATTTTCAAATACGGTTTGAAGTGCTTTGAGAATCCAAAAGCAACGTTGTCAGTTAAACAGTTCCCGCTTTAGATCTAATATGGCGCACTTTGGTTTAATATCAATGTAGATTCTTATTGTTTTTGTGGTGTGCATCTGATGGTGTTAATCGTTTTTGTTAAAACAGTTTTATATTTTAAATACTATTCCTGTTGGCTATATACCCTCAAGTTGTTGCTATTGACATCAATGTGTATTGTTTGAATGGATATTTAGTAAATAAGTAGAGAATAAATGGTATTAAAAGTAACCGAGTTTAGCAAAAAAACTACAAATTGAATTACGATCAGAAATCGTAATTAAACTCTTTGTGTATGATCAACATGATAAAAAAAAACTTTAAAACTTTTGAAAAGGGCTAGATAATTTTTGCTATTAGTAAATGTTTTAACTTTTTATATTTAGCAAAAAAATTTTATATTATGTTCGCTAAGCTCATACATAAAATCAAATTAATTGGTTGTTGGAAACGTTTACGGTATGCCATCTTCATTATGTACGAGAGATTTCACGTAGCTGGCAGATTATAAGTACGAATCGGATTTCTGTATTTCTTGAACCCTCAAGAGAATTTTATTAAACTTATTTTTAATCTTTTTGACAAATTTTATGAATAATTACTGTTTAATATTTTGTATATTAGTATACAGAACTTTTCGTTTTGATATTTATATAGAGTATAATTGTATGATATGAAATCTCTAAGAATTATATCCAATTTTGTATTGAAATATGCATATATATATATATATATATATATATATATATATATATATATATATATATATATATTTACTTACCTGAACCCTATTGTGTGTAGGACACCAGGCAACAGATTTATATTTTGCTATATCATACGATAGGTAAATTTTTTTTTCTAATGTTAAATCACTTGTAGTGATTTATTTAGATTACTGCATAGTTATAATTTTCTAATGTAATATGTGTTCATAGCAATTCGTGTTTATAGTTAGACAGTTTTAAACTCGTCGATCGTGATATTTTTACAGATGTATTTTTACAACAATATAAATTTTTATTAAATATGTTTGATTGAAAAAGAAAAATCGAATTTATAGTAAATTTACCCTAAAACGAATAAATATTGTATTAAACTTTTTTTTTTACCACCATTTTTGAATATCTTATTTGAAATACAACTTAAAATGATTCATCATTTTAAAAGAACTTACCTGAAAAAATTTTTTTGGACTACTTGAAATTATTTTTATTATTTTTTATTCTAATAATATATTGTTTTTAATGTTATTGTTTCTGAGTTTAAATTTTTATTATAAAATAAAGCGCGCAATAATTTAATTTAAGTTTCTTATGTGCAATAAAGTGCCATTCTTAAACATGTAAATGTTTGGATATCAAACATCAAAAATCACTTCATCCGCCCCTGACTGTTTAAAACAAAAAATAAAGCATTATAATTCGAAGCATTATTATCTTATCGATAATCATTATTATCTTATATTATCGAAGCATTATAATAGTTATCGAAGCGAACAAACGTGTTTTTTGTACAGCGTGTTTTAATTGTTATATAATAATGAAAATTTCGATTAAAAACATAGAAAAAATAATTATCAACAAATTAGAAGAACAGAAAAATTCTCAAAGAAAAAGAAAAGATTTCCATGATTGGTTTCCATGGTTATTATACCATTATTATTGGGGACCTAAATATTTTCTATACAGTGAAGGTAATAAAATTAAAAACTTTTACGAGTCTTTTTTCGAAACTGGAGCGATCCCTTTGATTAATCGTCCAACGAGAGTAACAAAAAACTCAGCGTCTTTGATTGATAATATCATTACAACATATATATCCGACAATGATATCCAAACAGGTATACTAAAGTCGGATATATCTGATCATTTTCCTACACTTTTGTTGCTTAAAACAAACTCCGAAAATATAACCAAATTAAATCAAATTAAATTACACACTTTTGACGAAACCAATATAAAACAATTTAAAAACCAACTATCACTCCTACACTGGAAACATATTAACTTAAATAATAATGCTGACAAATTTAACGATAACTTTTTTGAAAAATCTTATTATGTGTATGACGTTAATTTTCCTATCATTGTAAAAACAATAAATCCAAAAAGTATAACCAACCCATGGGTGACCAGGTTATTTAAAAAATCATCAAAAATAAAACAGAAACTTGATATAAAATATCGTAAAACAAAATCATCTTCAAATGAAAAAATATAAAAAGAATACAAATACCTCTTTGAAAAAGTTAATAAAAACTTGAAAAAAAGTTACTACTCAAGACTCATAGATAAATTTAAAAATAACTTTAAACGCACTTGCAAACAATGAATGAAATTAGTGGCAGACAAAAATGATGCTCAAGTTCTCTCCCCCAACAATTATAGTTGATAACAAACATATATGCGAATCAAGAGCTATAGCTCATGAATTTACTAAATTCTTTGAAGATATAGGTCACAAATTAGCAAACAAAATTCTTTATACAAATGCTACATTTAGTGATTTTTTAGTACAAGTGACAATTGCACTGGTTCCAACAAAGTATCTTCTAAACTATCTTTAAAACTCTTTAAAAATCAACCGGAGTAGATGACATAAACGTTAATATAGTCATAGAATATTTTAAATACTTAAAAATTATCCAATTAGTCTATAAGCCTCTATACGCCAAGGAGTTTTTCCTGAAGAACTAAAAATTGCTAGTTGCTCCAATTTTAAAAGAATGTGATCAAACAAATATCATTTATTATTGTCCTATCTCCGTCCTCTCCACATTTTCAAAAACACTAGAACGTATTATGTACAGTAGATTATACAATTATCTACATTCTAATAATTTTTATACAACTATCAATTCGGCTTTAAAAGAAATAATTCCGCAGAACACGCAGTTATCCAATTTGTACGTGAAACCTCTTTTGAAAAGTCTAAATATACATTAGGTGTTTTCAACGACCTTTTGAAAGCATTTGATACTGTCGATCATAAAATTTTACTACAGAAGCTAAAATATAATTTTTTTTTTTTTTTTTTTTTATGCTGATTTTAGGTGCCCCAAGAAGTCCTTACGGTCTTATCTCAGAGCACCGCGGAAGAGCATTTATCAGGAAGTTCACGCCTCTTTCCTAACCGATGTCGCAAAGCTTGCCCAGAGGTGGGGTTTGAACCACAGATCTTACGTTTCTGAGGCAAGTGTGCTACCACTGCGCCACGGCTGCTTTTATAATATAAAATAAATTGTAAAGTTATAAAATGGTTCAAAAGTTGACTTCGGCAATAATGATCATCCAAATAAGTTTCTAAATATTTTATGTGGCTTTCGACAAAGTTCTATTTTGGTACCACTATTGTTCTTGATTTATATAAACGACCTAAACAAAGCCTCAAATTTAATGAGTATCATGTTTGCTGATGATACTAACTTATTCTTTTCCAATAATGACATTTATAAACTCTTCTATACCATGAATGATGAACTTGAAGATATATCCAAATGGTTTAAATGCAACAAACTAACTCTTAATATTAAAAAACAAATTGGGTTCTTTTCCACCCAGTCTTAAAAAAAGCTTATTTACCCCGAAGTTTGCTTAAAGTTTTTAATGATAATATTGAAATTAAAAGACATAATGTAACAAAGTTCTTAGGTGCTTTTCTTGATGAAAACTTTACATGGAAAACGCATATCAACTATATTAGGAGAAAAATTTCTAAAAATATTGGAATTTTATATAAAACCAGAACATATTTATATAAAAAAAGTCTAACTCAACTTTATTATACTGGAGATTTACTTGTAAATGATCCAGAAACAATTTCGGCGTGGTGCAGTAGTTAGAGCACTTGTTTTATAAGCAGGAGATCCTGGTTCGAAACGAGCCTTGGATATATTTTCGCGTTAAGGTAAGGAAGGAGGCGTGAACTTCCTGGTTAAAGCACTTCCACGGTGCTCTGTGACAAGACCGTTAGGTCTTCCTTGGGCACCTGAATAACAATAAAAAAAAAATTACTTATTAATTCATGATTATTTAAATTATGCTAATGGTGCATGGGGATGCACTGAAAAAAGCAAGTTAAATTGGCTTTATCGCTGTCAGGAACATGCGATCCGTTTAATTAGTTTTGCGGATCGATAACCTCATTCTGAACTATTTTCTATTTAAATGAAAATTCTCAATATTTATGGGGTTAATGTTTTTAATGTTTTGTGCTTGATGTATATGTGGAAAAATGATATATCTTCACCCGTTTTCAAAGATCTCTTTTGTTTAAAACCAATAAATTAATATACACTTAGAAACAACAACTTTATGTAAGAGCCCATTTGTCGATTGAAGTTTAATCAGTTTTGTGTTGCACATCGTAAATCTTATCTTCAGAATAAAATTGTTTCGTCTATTTTCGACATGCTTTTAACTATTGGCATATTATATCAACAAATATAAACAACTAAAATTAATTATGTTGAAATAATGCAAGAGACTTTTTGCTAGATAACATTGCCATTACTACGTAATGCAGAGTACTACTACACAAACAGTAATGCAGATACTACGCATACTACATACATACAGTAATGCAGATACTGCAATACTACGTAATGCAGAGTACTACTACACAAATGCAGAGTACTACTACACAAATAGCAAATGCAGAGTACTACTACACAAACGATCCAACACATCATAGATCCAACACACCTAAATAGCACCATCACTGCCTTATTGAAAAAATTCCATGTTTTTTGTAATTATTTCTGGCTTATTCTTATTCATTTTTTATCTCATCTTGTTTTATATTTTTTTGAACATATTCATTTAGGTTTTTTCTTTTGCTACATCTTTAAAAAAAGACAAGCTAAGTAAATAAAACTATAAGTGTACTGTGTAATCAAGTTATTGTAAACATAAATTATTTGGATTGGCTGATTATACTAAACAATTAATGTCCCCTTTGGGAATATGTATATAAATAGCGTGCTTATCGAACTCTCGCTCTCTTGGAGTAACCTATCAAACATCAGCGGACTCGAGCAACTGTTCTACTACTAGCTGTGATCTACAATATCTTTCTTGTGTTTATTGCATACTTGTATATAATATTTTATTTATAATAAATTGAACTCGTTTTAAAATACGACTCTTACGTAAAACAGCATACTGTACCAAGTGTTTCAATCTATTTTGCCAGGCAACAATCTAAATATAAACTAAAGTTTATTTATATTACAATTAGTAATTGTTAAATACATAATATTAAAAATTAAGTATTTATAAATTTGAAATATGGGAAAACTATTTATTTTTTTAAATATGAAAAAAATTTAGTTTAATAAAAAGTTGTCGTAAAGTTGTGCTATAGTAGCGAGAACGTTTTAACGTCATAGAACGTTCTTAACGTTTCAACAAACTATTACCACCTTACCATTCATACATATTTTTTTAGTTTTCAGCGTTTAAAAATTTCAAGGATAATTTATAAAGAAAAAACAGCGCTTTTTGAACGAGTTTATGTGGAAATGGAATTTATAGCCTTTCTTCAATTTAAAATAAGTATTTATTTATGTTTTCATGAAAAAACGGTACTTTAAAATTTTGTTTAGAAATTAAGTATATAATGTTTCCTTTTATTCCTTTGCGTATCGTTTGTTTTGATTTTTGCCCTTGATTTTTGATGTTTTTTTCATTTTATTTCGGTTTCACGTCAAAT